TATAAGTAATAGTGGACAAGTTACGCTAAAATTAATTTTTTTTAAATATTAAAACATTAATTTTGCTACCGTCTGAAAAGAAGATTTCTGAAACTACGGAAATTCCGTAGCAGTTGGAGGGTATGTTGTTGAGAATAGATTAACTCCTCCTGAATATTATCTAATATTGAAATAGTTCTTCTACCAGTATTTTCTCTTTTCCCGTACCAGTATTTTCACTTTTCCCGGCGTGAACGTGTTAAGACAAGCACTTATATAAATGTAACAAAAAATTTGTTTCTCGGTTTAATTAACTATATACTCTTAAATTCATAAACTAATAGCTATTCTTATAAATTACAATAATGTATTTTTTATATTAAAAGTGTTTATAAATATGCTTTATAATTTGCCTGTTAAGAGGGATGATATATTCGAGATTGCTACAACTAACAAAAACTTATTTCCTTACATTCCAGGGTTCTTCAACCGTTGTAACCATTTAATGTCTATAAGGCGTAACTCATTATTTACATATATATCATAGAACACCTGAAGGTCACTGCAAACATTGTTTTTATTGGTACAACCATACATCCGTAGGTTTGTGCGCTTAATTAAGTCTTATAAGCCTTAGTGGAATGAAAGACAGATAGCACAATTCAGAGAAAGAAAGTTCAGAGTTACGATGGGGCTCGAACCCGTTACCTTCACTCTACAGAGAGTTTGGCGGGTGAAACCGCTAGGCAAGGGAGCCTCCGTTTCTCTGGAAAGTGATTCTAAGTATTAAAAAGTAAAAAAATTTAACATTTGGAATGATAGATTTGTGTAGGTTGAATGAGAATCAACTCTGGAGTACAAAGGGTTAAAGGACGTATCCTAAATGTTAATTACGAAAAAAATTGTCAAGTTCCAATCCCGCCTTAATCTGGACATTACTTGATAAGGGCTTATAAGCCGTACTTTAAAATGAACTGAACAACTGTATGAAATATCTGAGTATTTTTTTCCTTTCATCTTCAGCTTGAACTTCGTGGTTTTTCGATAAGGTGGTGGAATGCAAATGAAGTGAACTTTAAAATGAGCATACAAGCCGGAATAACTATGTGTAGCAATAAAAAAATACACACTAAATAGAAAATTGAGTTTACTTACCAGACCGATCGGTCACACCATCACCTCCTACATCAGAAAGCCTCCACACGGTTTCTTATAAGTTGTCTGCGCAGATTACTTAAAAGGCGAACAAATCGTGCGCATAACCCCAAATTCTATTTTAAAAGTACTTGAGAGAAATTTATCATATCATACCTGCCAACTCTTTCGGATTTTCCCGAAGATTTTATTTTCATATTTAAAGTGGTAGTAAATATATACTATTTTTTCTTTTACAAACTTAATTTTTAAATGATTTTGATCACCACTATTCTTACAAAAATTAAACACATATATTAATATGCTTTACTATCATGGTAGTCAACTTAAGTTTTCTCAAACACAACATATTTGTTTGCTTAAAACTAAAGTTTTAATTCCCTTTTCATACCACTGGGAAAAATGATAATGGAAGGGATTAAAAGTTGGCAGGTATGTCATATATATTTGAATCTGTAGTGGTTGACAAGTAAACAAAACAAACCAATTATATTCATAAATTAAAAAATTTTTTAGACATATATTTGCTACCACTTTCTAATTTTTAACGAATATCATATTAAATCGTTCTTTCACTACTTGGTTTACCTTCATAGTGGTCTGATCGGACTACCTACATAAAACCGTGTGGAGGCTTTCAGTTATAGGAGGCGATAGTCACACCATTAATCGCTCTGTAGCGTGGAAGCAGCGGATTCGAATTCCGCTGCAACTCTGAATGTATCTTCACAGATTTTCTATTTAATCATCAGTGTTTTTATCTATGTATTTAGATTATTACTTTTGTAGAATATTACTTTTGTAGAATATTACTTTGTAGAATATTACTTTTGTAGAATATTACTTGGTATCAATGTATACTTAACTGTCTCCAAGTATGTTTTTACACAATTTCTTTGTTTCCATACTTAATTTCGATACTTAGTTTTGTATACTTAATTGCATCGAAGTATCTACTGCAAATAGTGTTTTGTATTTACGTTTACATAATTGTATCTAATGCTTGCAATATTGCTTTGTATCTATGTAGACTTAATTTTATTTATGTATGTTCTTACAGTGACGGATGTGGCCGAACGGGAGCATATCTTTGTATTGAAGCAAACCTGGAACTTGCGGACGAAGATTTTTGCTACGATGTTTTCGGATATGCAAAGAAATTAAGAGCATCACGCAGAGGAATGATAGAAACGGTGGTAAGCACACATTTCACATTTTCCCTTTTTGTAGCCTTATAACTTTGAACCTAACTTAGAAGACAATAGAACTTCTGTATAACCGTTGTTGAACTGTTGACCAAATTTCGAGTTTACGACTACTAATGTTCAGCTCCGTAATCTTGTAATTTTGAACCTAATCCAGAAGACAAGGGAACTGATAGACCCAGTATTGAGAGAAATTTGCCTCCGTGGAGGACTTTTTGGTGGAACTACATACGCATTTGCGTAACATGGTGAGGAAAATCACAAAACCCCCCACAGTTAGCCTGACTGAAAGGGGACTCTAACCCATGATCGATATGCCAATGAGGATATTTTACGTCAGCACGGTGGTCGTTGCGATCCGGGTGCGAATTCGCATCGACCATCCATGGCTGGGATTCGAACCCGATTCACCTCATAACCCATATTTGTGTTACATAGCAAAGAAAATGAAAACTAGACAGGTAAATCTAACACCAAAGATAGCTCTTGGCTAATTGAAACATCAGAAATGTTCCATTGTACTTTTTGGGTGTAAAATAGTTGCTACTAATTTTGGGGTACACTAACACCAAATTATTAATGGCAATAACATATAATACACAGAAGCAGTAAAGTTATATTTATGATGCAATTTACAATTCGATCAATTAATTTAGCGTGCATACACTCAGCAATTCTTAAAATAAAATTTTTTTACAAATCTACCACGCCCACAGGCACACAGAGAGAACAGTGAAACATATTCGAATAAGGCTTAATAAAGTAGAAGTGTATAGAAACTAAGTATTATTAATTTTTTTAATATTATGATAGACATATATGTTATTAAAATTATGTTGAAGAATATTATTATGCAACTAAAAAAATTACATGCCTTTAAATTTTTTAGGAGCAGTATAGGTTCATATACGAAACCTTGGAGGAAGCAGATATCTGCGGTTCCACATGGTTTCCTGTGAACGCACTCTCACAGCAACTCAAGTACAAGTCTATGAAAAATAAAATAACAGGAATGAATGAGTATCAAAGGGAATATCAGGTAAAGACTTCTTTTTAATTATTATTTTTTTAAATGGCTCATCAAATCATCAATTGCCGACCGGGCTGTGTCAACGCCTCCTATAACTGAAAGCCTCCACACGGTTTTTCATTGGTAGTCCGATCAGACCACTATGAAGCATACCTGCCAACTTTTAATCCCTTCCATTATCATTTTTCCCAGTGGTATTGAAATGAAATTAAAACTTCAATGAAGATCTGTAA